GTGTGTGTGTGTGTGTGTGTGTGTGTGTGTGCAAGACAGGATCGTGGGGATTGATGTTCTTATTAGAAAATCGGATGTGCATGCCAAAACCAAAAAGAATTAATGGAAATTCTTATGTGATGTAAGAACCAAATATAAAAGTTTAGGCGTGTGTGTGTGTGTGTAGGTGTGTGTGTGTGTGTGTGTGTGTGTGTGTGTGTGTGTGTGTGTGTGTGTGATGTGCATATATGCAAGACAGGATCGTGGGGATTGATGTTCTTATTAGAAAATCGGATGTGCATGCCAAAATCGAAAAAAAATTAATGGAAATTCTTATGTGATGTAAGAAATCAAACAATAAAACTGTCTCATGGCTGGAACGAACCGAATTATAGGTAGAACCTGCGGTAAAATAGATGAATGGAGGTAAACCTTGACCCAATGCTCAACACAAACAAGAACGTTAGTATAAGACCGCAACCCTATGCTTGACGTGAGGAAAGAACCTTGGTACAATGGAAGACGCCACAAATGGGGTGGAAATTCATTTGATAAGTCGGGAAAGAACTCCTTAGGAGATGACCTAGAGTTTAGTTGGAATCCAAAGGAAACCGTAGGAGACAACCCAAATGCAAGTTTTAAATACAATTTTTTTTTTTTTTTTTTTTGCAAGAATCAGAAGTCCCCGTCTCATTTAACATAAGGTCTATATATAGGCTAAAGCTTACAAGAAAAGAAAAGAGAAGATAAAATATATTCTAAAACAAATGAAAACTACATCAAGTTGGCATGCAAGCCATTATTAAACCACAATAAAAATATAAAATATCCAACCATAATAATTTGACTCTTTTATCCTTGGGCTTGAAATAAGTTGATAAATCTTTGTGGCTCTTTCTCCTTAGATCCCCATGAATTGGCTTGAGTCTAAGCCTCCTGGACTAATCCATTAAGATCTTCTTTCACTCTCTTTGTATGGCATCTAGTAATTGGCCTACATGGAACTTGAATTAAATCTTCTCTTGAAGTCGTGTCATTGTCATCCATGCTATCATTTGCATCATTCCCCTCCTCTTGAAAATGATTTGTCCTCAAATAAGTGCTTGCATCAAAAGGACTTAAATAAGTAACATTGAAAGTGGCACTCACATTATACTTACCTGGTAGATCTAGATTGTAGGCATTGTCGTTGATACACTCAAGTACTTCAAAAGGACCATCTCCTCTTGGAAGTAGTTTGGAATGCCTTTGTTCTGAAAATCTTTCCTTTCTCAAGTGTAATCAGACCCAACCTCCAGGTTTGAAGATCATTTTGTCGCCCCTTGTTGGCATGTTTTTCATATTGCTTTGTTCTTTTTTCAATACTCAGTCATGCCTTCTCATGTATCTGCTTAAGAAACTCAGCCTTTTTCTTACCATCCAAGTTAACATGCTCAGAAACAGGTAATGGAATTAAATCAAATGGCGTTAAAGAATTAAAACCATAAACAATTTCAAAAGGTGAAAATTTAGTAGCAGAATGAACAGCTCTTTTATAAGCAAACTCCACACGTGGTAAACAATCTTCCCATGTTTTGATATTTTTCTTTATGATTGCCCTTAACAAATTAGACAAAGTCCTATTTACTAATTCAATTTGACCATCGGTTTGTGGGTGACAAGTAGTAGAAAATAATAATTTGGTTCCTAACTTATACAACAAGGCCTTCCAAAAGTAACTCAAAAACTTAGGATCTCTATCAGAAACAATTGTTTTAGGCATACAATGTAATCTTATAATCTCCTTAAAAAATAAATCTGCAATATTAGAAGCATCATCAGTTTTGTGACATGGAATAAAATGTGTCATTTTGGAAAATCAATCCACCACCACAAAAATTGAATCTATACCACGTTTAGTCCTAGGCAAACTTAGCACAAAGTCCATAGAAATATCAATCCAAGATGCATTAGGAATTGATAAAGGAGTATAAAAACCATGGGGTTGCACTCGAGATTTAGCTTGTCGACATGTGACACACCTACCACAAATCCTCTCGACATCCCGCCTTGTGTGTGGCCAATAGAAGTGTTCCTGCAAAACAGCTAAAGCCTTTGCAACTCAAAATGTCCCATTAGTCCCCCTCCATGAAATTCTTGTACAAGCAATTCTCACAAAGAACTTCTAGTCACACATAACTTATTTTCTCGAAAGAGAAACTCATCATGTTTAAAGAATCTACCGCAAGCAGTTTTATCACAAGCTCGATATTCATTACAAAAATCAACATCATCATAGTATAAATATTTATATTTTCAAAACTGAGTAACTTTGCATCAAGAGTAGAAAGTAATGCATACCTTCGAGAAAGAGCGTAAGCAACCACATTTTCCTTACCATGCTTGTATTGAATGACATAAGGAAATGTCTCAATGAACTCCACCCAACGAGCATGCCTTTTGTTTAGCTTGTGTTGACCTTTCAAGTGCTTCAAAAACTCATGATTAGTGTGAATCACGAACTCCTTATGCCAAAGGTAGTGCTACCAAGTTTCCAAGGCTCTAACCAATGCATACATCTCCTTGTCATAAGTTGGATAGTTTAAGGTGACCCCACTCAAGTTTTCACTGAAATAAGCAATTGGTCTTCGCTCCTGCATAAGAACAGCACCTGTGCCAATACCTGAAGCATGACATTCAATTTCAAATGTTTTAGAAAAATCATGTAAAGTCAAAATAGGGGCGCGGGTAAGTTTTTCCTTGATCAATTGAAATGTTTTTTTTCCTGCGCTTCTCCACACTTGAAACCAATGTTCTTCTTAATTAATTCGGTGAGCGGTGCAGCTATGCTACTAAAGACTTTCACAAACCGTTGGTAGAAACTAGCAAGTCCATGAAAACTATGAACA